TTGGTATGAATTATTTCAACTAAAGCAACTGATAAAAAATAACCCACACTGCTGTCTTTTAATTCAAAGCCTCTGTATTCGTTACTCCCTTACCTACTACCTCAAGGAACTTAATCTATCAATTATTGTTCTGTTGTGCTGGTCACATCTTTTTCTTCCGCACTTCGTCACTTCTTTGGCTTCTAAAATATAAGTAATCCAAGAATTTCCATTTAAGAAAAAAAAAAAAACCCCGCAAAACCAATCCAAGCACGTCACTTTATTTTTCCTTTAGGTACAGCCTCTTTTGTTGTTCAGAATGATGATTTTAACAAAATCTACTTTTCGCTTTTTATTTCCTTTTAATTCTACTATAACCTTTTATTTTTTCACTTTCATTTGAAAGTAACAGTGCGGAATCATAACAATACCTAAATTCCTTTAGCCAGAAGCGCCTGCTACTCACATTTTAGCTTTCTTTTTCCTGAAGCATTTTCAAGTTACAACACGGCCTTTCTAACTTCTGCAGATGCACTTCCACCGTGTTTCTACTTCTCCTGTCTTCAGCTCCGCTTAGCTACACTGGTGACTCCGCAGCCGGGCTGCTGCTTCTCAGTCCCCACCCGGCTCCGCGCGTGGCCCGCTTCCCTTCCAGCCTCCACCCCGGTTTCCGGCTAACTTCTGCTCCGGATTCTTCACGGCCTTCTGCAGCCACTGCTCCCGTCTCTGACTCAGCTCTCTTCCTCAGCAAAGCCCAGCTGCCCTGCTTCGTCTACTCTCCCCTACGATGTGCGCTCTTCCTGAATGGTCTTGGCCATGTATGTGGCTTTCGATTCCCAGATATGCTGATGTTTACACCAAATAAACACCTTTTCTAACCTCTGTATTTATGTTCCTAGCTGCTTAATACAATCTATTACCTAAATGCTGAAATCAATGAATTCGTAACCACTCATGTTCTCCCTCCACCCCGTAAACCTGCTCCTTCTCCCTAGAGCCCCATTTTGGTGGAGGTTGTGCAACCCCCAAATATGGCCATCACTGCTTTCTTTCTCTTCCTCATTCTCCGCATACATGCTTGTCATCTCTCAAATCCTCTTTCTCAGCACAGGGACCGCCTCGGTTCATGTTTTCACTTTTTCTTCCTAAGGCTATGATAATAATGATCTAATTTTTCTTCCACTGCTCAGACTTTACCCTCTACACTGCTACCAGTCTTCTAAGATGCAAATTACAATCTGCCACTCTCCTTGTCCTTCTGTACCTTCTCGTTTCTGTAGGACTAAAAATAGCGCAAAGTTTCATCATGATTTATCCTTCTTGCTATCACTGCAAGATTTCTGTGTGTACACTAGCGTTACATATACCAAGCTACTTATGTTATTCAAATACATGATACATTCTTTCTGATCAGGCTTTTGTATCACTTCATCAGTCATATATATCATTTCTTCTTTTTGTAAATTTAAGACATTTGACATTCCTTCACTAGAAATTCTTTTTTTTTTTAATACCAGAAATCAAGCTCATGACCTCGAATTTGCCAAGCAGGTGCTATACCACTGAGCTATATTCCTGGCCCCTGGAAATTCATTTTAAAAGACTCTCTAAAACATTTAAAATGATACTGTGGTACTTTCTCTTTTTTTTTTTTTTTAACTTTTATTTTATCGGTACCAGGGATGGAACTCACTCGACTGCCTGCTTGCAAGGCAAGCGCTTATGCCGCTGAGCTAAATCCCCAGCCGCCCCTCCTTTTTGATACTGTGGTACTTTCAACAATGTTCTCAAATAATAAATACCTCTACTCAGTGTAGGGATAGTTTTAGCAGCTGAATCATAATGCCATAAGCAGAAAAGCCTGCATTAATATTTCTGTTAATGAAAACAACAGAATGATCACAATGACATTAATACAGATTTTGGGTCTTAGTATCAATACTTGTTCAGATTAACATTGAAAACTGACTTAAATGTCAAACAAAGTAAGAACAAATTATAAGGCTCTTTAAATTTTAAAGTCTTCTAGTCTCTGATAGAAAATTATTCTATAGATCAATAATGTTAGAAGCTTCAGTTTGTAAATAATAGAAGAAAATCAAGAAAATTACATACAGTGACAAAGAATTAAATTTTTCCTTATGGATAGAAAAAACCACATGGGGCAAGTTTTTAGCTTGGGGAAAAATCTTACATCATTTATCATATATTGTCAGTTCTAGGTTAGGGGAAGGAAACACACAAAGAAATATTACAAATTTCTTCATTAACAAAGGTTCTCAAAGCAAGGAGGAGCACAGACAACTATGGTAGTCTTTGAAGTTTATTTTAAAAAATAACTTCAAAACAGTGCAATTTATGTAGTTAAATGACAAGTGGTTATATAAGTCACTATAAGGTATCTATAAAAAATTAGAAAAGAAGAGTTGGGAAAGATATGGGGCAATTGGAACCCTCGCACACTGCTGGTGAGACTGCCACATGGTGCTGCTATGTGGAAAACACAGAGGTTCCCCAAGACATTAATTACAGAAGTATCACTAGATCTAGCAATTGCATTTGTGGGTGCTCAAAAAAATTTAATATAGGGACTGAAATAGGTATTTTCAAACTGATGGTCACAGCAGCACTAGGCACAATAGCCAAAACAGCTCGAATGTCCATCACCAGATAAACAGGTGAACAAGATGCAGTATATCATATGATAGGAATTGAAGTTCTGATGTATGTTACAAACACAGTCAATATGCTGAATGTAATATAAGCCAGACAGAAAAGGACAATACTGTATAATTCTAACTATATGAGGCATCTAGAGGAGACCCACTTAGAGACAGAAACAAAAATGACTGTTGCCCGGGGCTGGGGGAAGGGAAGAATGAGAATGAGTTGGTTAATGGGTGAGAGGTGGACAGTGGTGACAGGTGCCCAGCAATGTAACAGTACTTCATGTCACTGAACTGTACCCTTAAAAAAATCAGAATGGCAAATTTTGTTATGTCCATTTTACCACAATGAAAGAAAATTTTAATTGGTGCTTTACATACATACTCTTTCATATTTATGGGGAAAACTACAAAACTCTTAGAGCAATGTACTCTTGGCTGCTAAAACCTCTATGACCTTGTGTTTTTCTAACTATCAGGAAACAAGCACCGTTTACTTAACTTGCAGGTATTGTTCTAACTCAGTGACTTTTGCTGTGATTGCTAGCCAAGCCTTTACTGTTTCCTGTAATATTTGGTTACTGACTTTTATCAGATTTGTTAAGTAGGCGAAACATTTTAATATGGGAAAGGAAAGTTATTTCCTTACATAAGTGTTTCCTTCTGATATTATATATTTGATGAAAACAAAATAATTGAACAATTAATTATATTAATCATGTCTATAACTTGAAAAATAATCTCTCTAAAAACTAAGGATGATAAAGACTACAAACTTTAAAGTTTGTTGTTCATGGCTGATTCTTCTTGTGAAAATTACATTCTTCTCCCTCTGAATTCTAAAACTTGAAAACACTGCCTGTGATTACATCAGTAACTCCCCTGTTATTGCTCCCCGCCCCAAATTCCTCAGGTATATCTTTCCAATACCAATCCTGTATCCTACATACATTCAAACTTATTTTTTGCTTATAAGCTGCTATGTGTTGCTAACAGATCACTTCATATAATGCCACATGATCACATATTATTTCTGCACTGAGTTTTTCCAGAATGCTGCTTGCCAACCTTTCTTAACTGCACCAACCCCTATGTCAAACATTAGACACACCCTTCTATTCACCTACAAGGTTGCACTTTTCTACTCTCCCTGAAATTAGGCCTGCTCAAAAGACTTGCCTTGGCTAAGAGGACATAAAGGTAAGTGCCCTGTGTCATTTCTGGTTTGAAGTTTTAAGAGCTTACAAATAATTCCCCATGTTGTACCCTCCTTCAACTCCCAGCCCAACTCCATTACTAGTGTGGGGCCCAGTGATGCCTAGGAGACACTCCATACTCTCCTCCACTAGACGCAATCAGGAGCAAGGAATAAACTTACGAAAGGACAGAGGAATCCTAGAGTTGCTGCCACTGTGTGACCTAGAACCTAGACCCCTCTACAACAGTTTCCTTTTGCTCACGGCCTGAAGTCTTCATTCTCATCCATAGAAAGCCTTCAAGGGCAAACTCCACTACTTCATTCCCTCTTACTCATAAACTCACCAGCAACAGGACAATTGGATTTTGTTCTATTTTGTTTCTATCTTCTTGAGACAAGGTTTCACTACACAATTCAGGCTGGCCTTGAACTCACAGTGATCTACCCGACTCAGCCTCCCAATGCTGGGATTACAGGTGTGTGCCACCAAACCCAACAACGGGAATATTCTTCTTTATTCGTAACTCAGGGGAAAATGGACCATTCTTTGTGTACCTATTTCACGTATCTGTTATTTTAAAAATGGAGAGGGGAGATAAAGTAAAAAAAGACCAATCTATAAACCTTTTTCTCTGCAAACATAAGGACATGCCACTTTTTAGTAAAAGTACAATGTTAAAAAGCAGGATATGCATCAAAAGTAATGTATTGAAAAGTCTCTCCTTATTGGAAAACAAACGCACATTGCTGTGGCGGGGTGGTGGTAGATATTCAAAGATTATCATCTATGTAGAAAAAGCAAGCATTCTAATACTTTTAATACAAACATTATGTATATGATTCTAATGTTTGTCATTAGATTGGTAACATTAAAGACATACCTAAAAAGTACACTGAAACAGGCTACAAACTTCAAAAGCATATTTTGCCAATCAAAGGTATAAAAAATACATCATGGATAGAATATAGTAGTTTTATTGCTTTCTTTTCATACTTTATCACAGTATGATATATTGTCTTAATAAAAATAATTCATTTTTTATATTTAAAGTTATTTAAAAAATTTTATTGCCATATAGTGCGTTTTCTTAGGTATCTCATAACAAAAAACAATAAATCACTGCAATTATTACAGTATAGTTAAGTAACACTTTTACCTTCTAAGTGGTTTTTGCTCTGATGGGAGGTACAGTCCACATGTTCTACATGTATGCTCCCTGTCTTAACTTGGTCACTAGAAAAACAGAACACACCAAACACATCAATTATTATGGATTAGATTGAGAAAAAGAAAGGAAAAACCTTTTTAAAATTGTATGTCACACAATATCCTACAGGCTTGTTGTATTTTAATTTACATCCCACATCCTTTAAAATTAGTTAACAATCAAATTAATTTGCCCAATAATTAAAATGCAAGTCCATTTGCTTACAAAGTCCTGCTCTTGCTACTCTTGCTGGCTACTTCTTACCAATAAATGTCATAAAATTACCCTGCCAAGGAAAACATATCCTTACTTTTTTATGGAAACGATTACTTCAATAAAAATAACCAGCTAATTTTTACAAATCTAGTTTTTTATTTATGAATGTGGTCAAGCACTAGCTAGTATGTTTTAAAAGATTAAAAGTATAATTAAAAAGCGGTAAGCATTCAGCCACTAACCTAGAAGCAAATTTTAGAAGTTATAAAAAGAAGTCCAAATATATTATCACTTAATCAAAAATTCATTAACTGAACGCAAATTTAGTTATTTGGCTAAATTTTTAAAAAATATTTGTTAACAGGACAATATCTCTTCTAGGGAACTGGATTGTGATGGCTGAAAACAGCCCCAGTTCACAGTTAAAATGTTAGCAATGAGACAAAGAATTTCATGTAGATTGAAGAATTAAACAATCAGCTTACTGTGATGCCAATGTAAATCTACACTTTAAAATTTGAAGTACAAATCAATAATTGACAGCAATAGAAACAATGGCCATGTATTTCCATACTCTCCAAATTTCCTAAAAATAAACGTTATTTTTGGAGTCAGGAAATAACTAAAAACTGAAATATCTTAGATTTCTTCAATAATCTTTCCATTATACTTAGTTGATTGCAAACTTTGAAAATTCAAATAATTAGTAAGAAGGGAATATGAGGAGAAAATCATTCAACTTGTGCAATACCTGACAGATTGCAGTTCTTTAGCACCACTGACATCGGCTACTGCACCACTGCCATCAGTAACAGGTGAGTCCAGACCAACAGACCCATTACTGATATGATCACTGCTTTCGTATCCAGACTCGGTCCTTTGCATCTGCCCGTTTTCAGCATAAATTTTACTCTCTGTGATGTCTTTATTTTTCTCTGCTCCTTTTCCATTGGAGTCCAGGGAACTTCTGCTTCCTATTTCCTGCTTCATTTCATCTTCAAATATAGTCATTAAACCTTTCTGCTTTGGATTCTCTTTTGGCCCATTATTAAAATTCTGCTCTTTGCTCCCTTTCGGTTTGTGGTTGCCATTTGATTTATGTCGCGGACTATGTTGTCTTTTTTCACTTTCACTAAAAACACTATCGACATTTAATGTTTCCCTCATAGGTCTCCAACCTCGGTTCCGGTTTTTACTGTTGCTGTTGCAGCCGCTTCCTTTATCCCTAGAATCTTGGCTGCTGTCTGTATCGTATCCAGTGCCAATGTCACTCTTAACTTTGCCTGTTATTTTCTCTCCTGGAACAAGAATTTGAGATTTGCCTGAAGCTATTTGTTCAGAAGTTCGACCCTGATGGGAAATTCGGTCGTGTTTATAGGGTCCTCTTCCTTGACTGTGATACAGATGTGGATTCTCATATTGTCTAAAGCCATTTGGGGCAGGAGGTGATCCAGACTTGAAATGTGAGAGGTTTTCATCAACTAAATTTAAATAACAACAATGATATGAGGATTAAAGACACAAATGAACTACCCATTAAAGCAAAGTTATAATCACAAGCTAAATAACTTGAGAAGCCAGACATCACAGGTAAATAACAAAAATTAAATGATATACTACTGCTTTGAGATTTGAAATGTGTTTTACCAGTCACATTTATACTTAATTAGAGGCACTAGAGAAGGCTTTTGGGGGAAAAAAAAAATAACCTCTAAGGTAGATCATATGACAAAACAATTTTTTAAAACTAAGCATTGTAAATCATAATTAATAAAATCATAAAATATTTTCCACCTCTTACACTGGTAAAGATTTAAAAGTGTATAGAACCAAATGCTGCTGAATGAAAAAATATGCAATCACCATTTGTGGGAGTGCAGACTGGTTTAATCTTTCAGGAGGGCAAGTAAGTTCTATTATGTCAAACCAGAAATAAGTGTATCTGGCCAGCAAGCCCTCTGCACGCATTGTGTCCTCTGACTAGGCACACGAATGGACAACGGCATAGGTGCAAGGACGCCATCAGCTAGTCCATGTTTAAAGTCTGTCGGTATCAATTAAATTATGCGGTGCCATAAAAGAGGAGTTTAGAGCCATAAAAAGACTTATAAAGAAAACTACAGTAAACAGAGGGAAGGTCAGCGGCTGCGTCAGTTTTACAACTTCCCTTATTATTTGAGTACCACATATAAATGAACTGCATTTATAACCAAAAGTCAAGTTAAAACATCAAACACCAACACTCGTGTCCAGATTAGAATTAAGTAATAACAAGGAAAAGTCTGCACTTTTAGACTTAGTATAGATACATTAAAGAAATCTGAAAAAATATAAACAATATAGTAAGTACGTAATATACAGAATATAAGTAAATGCACAGATATTGTATTAAAATATATTAGTTATAAAACTCACTTTAAATTGAGACTTCTAGCACTCCCTTTAAAATGAACACTATTAAGCTCTTACCTTTGTTTTGACCTGCATCTTTCCTTTGTCCCTTTTCTAAATCTCTCCTTTGTGAAGAAAGTAAGTTTTTCTGTTCAATGGCTTTCATAGCGCATTCTCTGAAAATTTCTTTTATCTTTTCCCTTTGATCATTGTGGCTTAATTTAACTGTAAAAGAAATCATTCTTCAGATGATATAGATCAGTTTTCAAATTGTTCAACAAAAGTAACAATTGAACTAAAAATGTTGATTCTATTTTTTTAAAAAAATAAACTTGAACTCATCTTTATGCGTAAATAAAAATTCAACTAATTTACCCAGATACATGCTATCTTTAAAGAAAGAAAAAAAAACCTCAATTTCTTGTATAGTCTCTGAAGCAAGATTAGAGAATAGAAGAAGCTTCCAATTAAGACAATAATAGATCAAACTAACAGAGTTAGCACTGGGCAGCACTGTGTTTTACTGATAAAATTCTCTGAGGTAGGTACAATTGCTATTTCTACTTCAGATAAGGAAGATGAGGTCAGGTTCATGTAGTTTGTAAATATAGACCTGGAAATATGAACCTAAAATATATTTTCAAAGAGCATACACACTGTTTCTAGGCTAAAGTAGGCATCTACTGAAAAAAAAATGTTTAATCTAAGAGTATCAACAATATAGAAGAAACAGATACAGTTTTATTAAGAATTTTTTTCTTGGAGATGTTAAGGACTGAACTCTAAGCAAGCTAGGCAAGTGCTCCATGACCAAGGCTACACTCCCAGACTTCATTAAAGTTTTTTCAGTCTTTGCTACAGCTTTTTGTTGATAATTACTAATTTTGCCTAACACTCTTGAGTAAATGACTTACATTGACAGACATTTCATTAATATAATTTAGAAGCTGCTTATAAAATCATATTGAGTACTCAAGAATTTTATATACTTTTATTATTAAATGTTTATTCATTGTCTTAAAGAATTTTATTTTTAAACCATAATTATACATAGAACTGTGATGACACATTTTAGACCCTGTGAAAACTACAGTCATAAGAGGCCCACCGTGAGAAGTTAGTAAAAGTGAGGGTAAGAATAAATTACAGTTAGAGTAACTTTGAACTACAGTTACATTCACTAGTGATAATTTTAATTTTGACAGGAAAGCCACATTATTAACTCATGTGCTTATTTTTCAAATTGATTATTAAATCCTTGCACAAAAGGTCACATTACAGCCTTCTTTAGCAACCACTGAGGTTGCTTCAGGCCTCCTGCAGCTCTGAGTGCTGGAGAAACGCAACACCTTGTCTAGTCCAATTGGTCTCATAAAACTATAGCTGTCAGACAAATACAGACACCAAAAGTCATAAATCGAGTTTTTTTCTTTTTCTGGCCAAGGAAAGCTAGTTTAGTACTCTTCTTTTGTATAGTTATAACCAGGAATTACAGATTCAGTAACTGAGGAAAGAGTGGAATCAAAAATGCAAACATGTGGGGACTAGGGATTTAGCTCAGCGCATAAGCACCTGCCTTGCAAGCAGGCGGTCATGAGTTCGATCCCCCGTACCAATAAAAAGTTAAAAAAAAGATTCAAACACGTACCTGGTCCTCTACCACCACTTGTCTGAATGTGGTTCCGATTAAATGATGAAATATTTGTGGTTGGAAGTTTCTGATTATCTCTCTGTTTTGCCTGATCATTAAATTCATTTTCTTTTGAATTATCAAATCTATAAATCACAGGCTTTTCGCATCCTTAAAAAGATAAACAAAATGTATTATTCCCTTCCTTCCCATTAAAGGAGGTATTTCAATCATTTTTAAAAGATATTTTTAATAATGCCAACAAAATTACTTAAAACTTAGGGGAATGAAATGCCTTAAGGATTTCTAGAAGCTTTGTGATGTATCAAAAAGTGGCCCAGCTGCTTTGTACTGGTACTGTTTACGAAATCATTTTACATCTCAATATTTGCCACTACCAAGAGCTATCAGCGCTCTGCATGCCTGTCTGCTGATTACAGTGGGTAACTCCTAAGGGTGCTTCTGAGGCTCTGACAGCAAAAGCTTCCTCTCAAAAGAACTACAAGGAGCACTGTCATTTTCTTGACCCTACTTTTCTGAAACTCAATTTTCAAATTATTCTCAGAATTCCCTTTATACTAATGTAAGTATTCCTCGGTGATTTTGACCATCGAAAGACACCAAAAAATATTTATAAAAAGAATTACCCATATTTTGTGCAACAGATTTGTGATGTGGCCAGTTGACAACCTGCCTGAGTGCGTCTTCAGTAGAAACTGCCGTGCCATCTGGGTTTGCATAGAACAGAAGCAGTGGCTGGAAATGGCACCGAATGCACTTAGAGACCACATCTTTCCACCGCGTGCCAACCTTTTAAAAAACACAATGAACAGAAACAAAACTTTACAATCCATGTGCTACATAAAAAGAGAGGGACTTTCTATTTTATTTTGTATTTTAAAAATTTTAAAGATATTCGGATGTTGGCAGTTCAAACATATAATTAACTTTGTATAGTAACTAGTCTAAAAAATCTTTTTAAGATCTTCATTTAAAAAATAATGGGAAAAAATGGCAGACTTTTTATATCAAGATTTAATCATCAGGGCAGGGGATACAGCTCAGTGGTAGAATGTTTGTCTAGCATGTGCAATGCCATGGGGTTCAATACACAGTACTAAAAAAATAAAAAAAGGTTTAATTATCAAAGTTTTAAAAGCCTTCCCTGTACATGGTTGACTGACTTTTCAAAGAGTCCCATGCAATTCAATGGAGAAATATTTTAAAAGTCTGTTCAACAAATGATACTGAAAAAACTGGGTACCCATCTGAGAAAAACTCTCACCCCATTACCCATAGAACATAAAGAATAACTCAGAATAGATCACGTCAAAATTATAAAACTTACAAAAGAAAACTAAAGAAAACCTACAACCATGGGAAGTCGTAGATTTCTTAAAATAGCAAACAAACTGTGAAAGGAAAAAAATCATAAAATGCCCTCAATCAAAATTAGTAACTTTCTTCTTGGAAGGATAAACCATAAGAAATTAAAAAAACAATACCATACATTTAATAAAGGACTAGTGCACAAAATAAAGAGTTCCCACAACTCATTAATAACATAATTCATTTTGTTTGGTTTTTTTTTTTGGTCTTTTTCCTTTTTATCGGTACCAGGGATCAAACTCACGACTGCCTGCTTCCAAGGCAGGCACTTATGCCACTGAGCTAAACCTCCAGCCCCCATAATTCATTTTGAAATCTGGCAAAAACATTTAGACAGACTTCACCAAAAAAACCTCAGGCATGGCCAATAAGCACTTGAAAAAAAGCTCCATTTTATATAATGGAGTATTACTCTGCCATAAAGAAGTATAAACTGGAGATTTTTATAGGTAAATGGATGAAGCTCGAGGCCATACTCCTAAGTGAAATGTTACACCTATACGTGTAAAATCATCTTGCCTCACTAGTGAGAAACTGAACGAGTAAGTAAGATCCAAAATATACAATAGACACTGTGAACTAGGAAGACACTGCTCAAAAAAAAAAAAAAAAAAAAAAAAAAAAAAAAAAAGACAGTGATGGGGAAAGGGGAAAGAAAAAGAAAAAAATATATTTATACACATGATAGTTAAGATACAGCTAGTGTCAGTTCACTGAAAAGAAAGGTTTGGGCTAATATTGTTTGGACAAGATATTTTGCCTGTATCTTGGTCTCTACTTACTAGGATGATGACAATACACAATGTATCAATTATTATAGCTCTCCTACTAACCTGTTTTGAAACTTTGTTATTTTCATTGTTTTCACTTTAAAAGAAAAAAAGCTCAAAACTGTATCATTCCCAAGAGAAATCCAAGGTGAGATGACAGTACACACCCACTAGAAGTCTGGGAAGTAAAAAGACGAACCACACCGAGTGCTGCTGAGGCCTCAGAAATTCTCATGGACTGCCAACAGGAATATGAATTGGTACAACTACTTTGAAAATCAACTGGGTAGTTTCTAACAAAGTTTAATATATACCACACACAAAAAACCCCCAGATCATCTAGAAGCAATGGGGAAAAATACACTCAAAGATTGCTTATTCCTCAACAAGTGAATAGATAAATTGTTATAACAGCCATTAAATGAAACATAACAATAAAAATGAACTGATACAAGCAACCTGAATGACTTGTAAGGACATTTTATGCTGAGAGAAAGAAGTCAGATTCAGAGTCCACCAAAAAATGTATACATCAGGAGGAACAATTTGCATAAATATTTTACACTAAATTTATTTAGATATCCTGAGATTAATATAAGTCACTGTTGGCCTCTACAATTACAAGAGGTGCTCAAAGTGGAGGCCATCAGCTTCCAGGCATAATTAGTGTGGTGAACTACTGAGTACATATACATTTTGTGGGTGAACTCTGTCTATGGTGAGTGAGATCTGTGGTTTCCCGGGCCGGAGGTGAAGTGGAGAGCTACCAGCAAACATGCATGAGAGAATTTTATGAAACTGCTCGATAGCAGTGAGAGTGAATCCTTTAGACACTGAGTGCCAAACTGCAACCCAAAACCCACTTATCATGAAGGGCAAACAAAACAATTAAACCTAAATACTGAAGTTTCAGTTTAGAAAAACCAATTCGTACATTAACACTTCTGTCTTAAAAGAAAAACACAGTAACATTTGTGAATAGGTTCACCACCACCGCCGTTCTATATACTCATCATGGTGGTTATGGGGGTGTGTACCTCTACTGCAAGTCAAATTATAAAATTAAAATGGACGCATTTTAATTTCTGAAAATTATACTTCTATAAAATTGATTTAAAAATTAAAGACAACAAATGAACAAATCACAAAGAATCCCACCATACTGGTTCTTGCAGGGAAAAAAATCCTCAAGCACTTCAAACTACAAATACTATTTATAAAGCCTCTTCATCTGAGATTCTAATAAATTTGAAGAGATGATTTGAAAACAAAACAATGAAAAGACCTCACAGGGTGATCAGTACACCCAGTTTTTCCCTATATTTTGACAGTTAAAACTATGTAAATACAAAGTATGAGCTCTGAAACATTGCTACTTATATTAATAAACAGTGACTTATATTAATCTCAGGATATCTAAAGGAATCAAGATAGAACTTCTTAATAATTCTATACCAAAGCACTAGGTAATGCAAAGTGTTGATTTTCAAATAAAAACAAGAACATTTTATCATCAGCTTTACGGAGACATAATTTACATAAAATAATCTAGCTCAGTGTACCAGTCAGTGTGCTTCGACAAATGTGTATGATCATGAAATCTGCAAGCCCAAGTCTCCCCGTTGCCCCTTTGCAGTCCCTGAAACACTGATCTACTTTCCAACTTTATTTCCTTGTTTAGATTCCATACAAATGGATTCCTAGTATACAGTCCTTTACGACTGGCTTCTTTCACATAGCATACTGCTTTCATTTCTCCACATCAGCACATTCGTGACTGACAATTTACTCATTCGCTTGCTGCTGGACATCTGAGCTTGTTTCTAGCTTTTTCTATGGACACTGAAGTACAAGTTTGGTGTGAACACATGCTTTTATAGGAGTGGAATATCTGGGTTATAGAGTAATTGTGTACTTAAATTTATGAGGAACTGACAGACTATTTTCTCAAATGACTGTTCAGTCTCAGGCCCAGGCGGCTCAGGTGACAATCTACTTTGCCACATCCTTGCCAATTCACGGTATGTCAGTGTCTTAATTTACCTATTATAAATGGGTAAATACTGCAGACTCGTGGTGAACTATTATTTGCATTTATCGTGTAGCTAACAATATGTTGAATATAATTTCAAGAGTCATTCATATGACTTCTTTGATGCAATGTGAAAATCTTTTGCTAATTTTTAAAAATTAAACTGTAGATTTTAATAATGAGCTGCAAGATTTTTAAACATATTCTGGACACAGTCTTTACTAGATCTATGTCTAACAAATATTTTCTTCTAGTCTACGGCTTGTTTCATTCTCCTAATAGTGTCTTACTAAAAAGCAAGTTTTATGCTTCATGTTTTTCATGAAAGTTTAGTTTTTCAGCCATTTTATGGTTCACATTTACTGAATGCTAAGAACTCTCTCTACAAAATAATAGTGCTGACAAATGGTCCTTCAATGCATTAAAATTAAATAAAATTTCTTACCATTTCCTTACAACATACTAAGGAACACCTATTTTTATATACATTTACTGCTTCATAACACAGTTCTCAAAGCCAGAAAGTTGAAATAATATTTCTACAATCAACAGTTTTTAACTATGTTCAGTCTGAATCTCCTGAACAATTTAAAAAACTTTAATTACTTGTCTCTATTTAAGTTAATTCAGAATTCAAGACCCAGGTACACTGTGCTTATTAAGAAGTTCCACAGGTGATTCTTCCCCATGAAGAAATATTGCTCAGCCTGCTATGCAGTTTGATGCAAATACTTGTAAAGGCAGCTACTAAAGAGGCTGCAGCAGGAAACAAGTTCAGTGCCACTCTGGGCAACTTAGTGAGAGTTTCTGCCTAAAAATAAAAAAAACTTCAAAAGCTGAAGATAGAGCTCAGTATCCAATAGTAGAGTGCTTGCCTAGCATGCATGAGACCCTGGATTCAAATTCTCAGTACCACTGAAAGAAACAAACAAGTGACAGAAGAAAAGACAGAAAGAAATATTTTCACTACTTGACAGTATTATAATGTTTACATACATTATTTATCAAAAAATATAAATTATGAACCATATACACATCTAAATCGCCCTGCTACATGCAAACTTTGAAAATGGGTCAAAAGAAAAGCAGTACATTTCCATTACAAGTTATACAAAGCAACTATAAATCATCTAAACAGAAACACATGTAGTAATTATACATCAGACAATAGCATCATTGACATAAAAATTACTAATAATTACATATTTGTGTATTAACATTTATTAGTCAAATTTTCACTATTCTAGAAACTGGTTTAAAAGTTGGCTTCAGAATAAGTCAACTTTCAATAAAAGTTTGAATTGAACGCTATCATCGTTATATTCATTCATTATCTGTTATGTATCATCATTTTGTTATTATTTATTACTACAAAGTAGAAAGTCACAATAATGCTAGGAAGTGAAACACTTACTTACCTCTTTCACATTTGCATCATCAAAAAACACCCACTTGGAACTCTTAGTGTGAAAAGCAAAGGCACAGTAATGTCTGCTGCTGTAGCAGATCATACCAACAAGGTGGAGTTCACTGTTTTTGGCATTTTCATCAGTAACTCTATAGAAAAGCTGCTTAAAAAATAATAATGTATGTTTAATACTATGTCTTATGAAACAAAGGACAATTTGATCAATATTTTACTCATGAAAAAAATTTGCATGCATATTACCCCAATGTTCTACAGTATTATGATACTATTACTAAAGGCACCACTGACTGCATCATTGACAGAATTACTACTTTTAATTAGTCTATAGAAGCTTTAAGTCCCATAAAATGAATTCACTACAATCAGTTCAATAACACACTATTTCCAGTAACATTTGACTAATATACTAAAAATACAAGATAAATTACATATTCTTGGTAATTCTTGAGTCACACATCTGGACAGCCTAGAAAGGTATCTAAATTAAAATTTTCTGAAATTTGAATTGTAATGTGAACCAAAATATATTAAGAAAATAATAAGCATACTGAGATCAATGCAATTTTGAGTTGCAATTTTAAATAAGCATTGAGATCAATGTTGTAATAAGCATATTGAGATCAATGTAATTTTAAATCTTAAACCATTTTTTGGATTAATATTTATCATATAAATACAATATCATCATCATCATTCCAGATTGAAAGAGCTTAAGACAGTTTAGTTTGTGGTCAAAAGCCATTACTTTATGTCAGAAAAGCATTCCAGTTAACCTGATTTGATTAAATTTATTTGTATTAAAGTACATCTGGATATTATTACTTCCTTTAAAAAAATTTAGGTTCTGAAAGGCAAAGTTAAATGTAATATGATACATACAGAAATTTTAGAGAAACTTAAAATAAAAGGAAAAAAAATAAAAAGAGTTACAATACCCCAGGAAGATAAAGGTAAGTCCCAAGATTCCGAACAACATCTTCAGTTAAGTCAGAATGCTCAGCATCCCAGACTAAACCAATGGTAACAATCTCCGGGCAATTCATTAAAACACGACGAATTTTTATTTTTTGACCACAATTACTCTACAGGAAAACAGAAAAAGCATGCATTGAAAAATCAAAATAGACATATCACAGACAAAAGTTACAGTTTATATTACATAATGATAGTCTTAACGTATCTGAAGTCTTTCAGTTTGTTAAAATTTACTTCTAACTAGCTATTTGTCTTAATCATTGATTAAGCAAGAAGTTATTTTAAGTTCTTTTTTTTTGTCTCTCTTTTGGTACCAGTGATTGAATTCATCACTTTGCACTTATCAGGCAGGTGCCTATGCCACTAAACTAATCCCCAGCCCCAAGAAGTTATTCTAAATCAAAGTATTCTTTGCTATTTTTGTTAGATTATTCTTCTAAGAAAAACAGAGAGCCCTTGAAATTATTAACACTAGAAAAGAATATAATTTATCCTGGTTATTCAAAGGAAAAAAATCTTTATTTAAATGATACATTTTAGAACTTCAAAAATTTTAGTCAACATACGGTACTTTAAATCCTTCACAACCTAAGAGATTTTAAAGAAATATTGTGAAAATAAATAGCTCAAATGGTATAAAGCTATTTAAAACAAATTTAAATGATAAATTCTTAAAATTAACTTTATATAGAATGTTTACATGATAATTTTTGAATACCTAGTTTCAAATTTACAAATACAGAAATATACCAATATTCTTCAAATCGCACTTACTGGACATTTCCTATAATCATCTACTGTATTTGCTGCTTGGAGTAATTCTGCAAACATTTCAGGTTTCAAGCGTTCATGTCTTTCCATCATTCTTTCAACTTCACTGCTACAAAAGAGAAAAGCAGGCTCAAATTCAGTCTATGGACTTAATCTAATAAACCTAATAGATCTAAAGATTTATTAAATCTAACATCTAATAAATTACATATAATAGATATGAAAAATTGTCAATATGGGTGAGAATTACTTCTGTTTAAAATATGACTTTGCCCAAAAAAAACCTGACCATAAAGTTTCTATAAAGTGAAAAATATTAAATTTGGCAATCCTATTATAAAAAAATTAGGACAAGTATAGAATAAAACAACATGAAATTTCATACTTTTGTCTGGGACTACATGAAGATAAGATGCTTTATCTGGCAGTAATTCTAAGACAATGCTTCCTTTGTTGTAAAACTTAGTAAGTAAGGACTTTCAACTCTGTCCTAACAAGAATGACAAAACTATAGGAAAGATTCATCTCTTGCCCAAAATACCAAGAAGCAAAGTTATGAATTTCTTCTAGGAGATGGCCTTACGTTGACAAAATGCACAAGAAATAGCCAAGGTTAAGTCAAATAAGTGCCTTCATTTTTAGTATGGATTCTAGTTATTTTATTGGAGACTACAGTTTTAATACATTATGGGATAAGTGTATCACTAATTAGCCACCCTTCCTACATCATATTTTTACATATCAAGGTTTTAATACAGTAATTTTAAGCAACTATTTAAATAGTTAACTTTTTAAAAGGAATGTCAAAGCTGAAACATTTCTACTAATTTCCATTTTAAATGTTCTGGTTCTGTTTAGTAGTAATGCAACTTTCATGGATATAGTTTATAGTTTAATGGCTTAAGCAATTTAGAAGTACTCAATAACTAAAACTAAACTAAAAACTCTTCATAAGCATACTACAAAAGCAATAAATCTGATAAATTCATTTAAACTGCATACAATGGTTTTATAAAACTCACAATTTAAGAATAGTGGCTACCTAGACAAATTCTGAAGTCAAATAGGTCTGAATTCAATTGTAATCCATCTACTTGCCAGATTAACCTCATTAAACCCATTTCTTCTTCAATGAAAGTTTTTTGTTAACATTAAAACCAACAATTTACCTACAGCCCGGAATACAGTAAACATTCAATAAATGATATGCAATACTAAGTACCAGTAAAAAAAGTTTAAATTTTACAGTTTTTAATTTAAGGTCTGTCCTTGCTTAAAAACTATCCTTTTGCACAATTGACTATACTTGATGGGAGCTTAGAATGAATGTTTCTGTAAACCAGTGTTTAGAAATTTCATTTGTAAGAAAAGTGCTTATACTAAAATAACCAAACAAGAAATAGTGCTATATTCAAGAAATACAAAATTTTAGTAATATGAAATGGATGAACATGTGACATTCACTTTGTGCATGGACAAAAACACTGACATCATGTCACCTAACTCATGTACTGATACATTCTGTTAATTATCAATGCATGTTATGTGTTTTGTATAAAAATTTCTGGTAACATTTACAATCTTCATTTTTCTTTTAAACCAGGAATGACCCTCCGCTATATTACAGGCATCTTCTTCATTTTTTCCTCCATCAATGAGTTATACTCTCAAGTCCCAGGAAAGTACTCTATCTCTATTATGTAAATCCAGGGATCCTTCCTGGATCCTTCACTAGCTAGAGCTTCACAGACAGAGAGCTGATAAAGGGGAGGGGCAAGCAGGACAGCATGACATATTTTAACTTAAGCCGAGTGTTGAGGCCTCAAATATGATCATCTAAGTGAGGATTATGTTCACAGTTTTCTTTTTTTCTGCTTACCCCAGCTTTTATCATCATGAAGGGATGTAGCAGAGCAGACAGGAAGCATAGCTACTACAAAGAGAGCCACTTAAAAACAGAGAAATCATTTTGCAGTTCAATTTACCACTGGTTGTCATTTTAACCCCCTTCAGAGTTCAAACTAATTTGTATATATATCTCTAAATCGTTCAATTACAGGTTGAGCATCCTTGATCTGAAAATCAAAAATTTCAAATGAAATTTTTTGAGTTGCCAGCATAAAGCCACAAATAGAAAAATCACAAACCTGACCTCACTGTGATGGGGCTGCAATCAAAATGCAGGCAAACTAAACACACTAACAGTACCTTCAGGCTATGTATATAAGATGTACTCATACATGAGACCTAAATGAATTCCATTGCTAGACTCTGGCTCTGTCCCCATCTATCTCATTAGGCATAAATGTAAATATTCCAAAATCTGAAACCTGAAATAATTCAAGTCCAATCGCTCTGGATAAGGGATACTCAACCTGTAGTAAGTCTAGATTACAAATAGTATGCAAGTGAGATAAGTATCTCTATCTCTTATGCTATTTGGAGGATAATACATATATGTTATTGTTTCACAGAATAAATGTTCAGTGTGCTTAAATGTGCTGTTAAATATGCTTTCATAGTTCCTTACCATAGGGCTGTTGTAGAAATGTACCGCACAAATTCTGTAAACGGTAGTGGATCTGATGACGCTCCACAGCTACGACACATACACTACAGGTAAAAACATATGTTTAATCTAACAATCACAAAACACAAATATAATATCTAATAAAATAAGTAAACCATCACCTGTTCATACAGAGTCATAGCGAACTTCCGGTGAGTGATACATGACTTAGAGGTGCACATGTCTGCATTTCCGCTTGGCACTATGTGAAAATGAATCCTCTCCAAGATGTTTTCCTGATTTAAAAATAAAACAGACAACTGAGTTGCTAATGTTGCAAAGAACACTTCAAAACACAACTCTCTCCAGCCGAAAAATTTTCAAAATGTAAGTTTAGGAGTGGCATACATGTTGTTAGCCTTTCAGCTTGCTTCTCCAGTCAGCAGTTCAAATGTTCACCTATTCACTGTTAGTAGTATCAGCTAAAAATAAATGCTTAACAAAGTGTAACATAATCGTAACAAAAATTTTAAAAATTCTTTTAAAAACCAACTCACAGTGACTGACATCTAGAATTTAATTTTAGAAAACATAGTTTTCTATGTTCCTAACATTTTCATGTTAAGAAAAAGCAAGTAACTTTTGCTGGATTTCCAGACATTGTATGGATTATCATTAGCATGTATTGACACACTAAGTAAAATCACAAAGTGAATATATTGTACAAGATATATGTTTATGTAGTGAATCAACTGTAAGTAGAAAAATATGAAAAATGTGTTTCATGGTTGGGTGTATTGTTATTGGTACATTTTAATCGTGCAGAAGCATGCTTGGCATTGTATTGGTCAAGAAGTTTCTATTGAAGCCCAGAAACCATAAGATGCTTATTTAGAGCAAGATAAAAACACGTTTATGCCAAATAAATTCCACAAATAGTACAGTCTACAAAAATTCAGGAAATTGATTAAAGTGGTTTCCTCGTATCTTTTGTGATAAGTTTAATTTGATCTTTGACATATAGGATGAAATAGTTATGAACATCTCAGAAACTTGAACAAAGGCTGTTAAACAGAAATAAAACAGAGGTAGGGAGAAACAGAACGGAACTATCACCCTAAAAAAATTCAGAGAGAATGCTGAGATAATTTTGAGATTAACTGAAAAAGGCCTAAAACATCAGAAGAAAAAGTCTAGATGTGAATTAAGAGCAAACATTAACCTGAAGAAATTTATATTAATTTGGTAGTCTTAGAATAAGAAAAAGTGGAGGTAGGGAAATAATACAAAAAGAAAACCTTTAAAAGGATTTATGCAGGAAGAATTTACAGAGTTTGCAGAATAAAAAAAGGAACAATAAAAAGAAGTGGTTACATCTTAAATGTAGGTGATATTACCAACACATTTAATAATCAACACATATATTTCAGACGCTGTATCAGGTCTGTCCCTACTTATTAATGCTGTGGTAACAAGAGCCATGATTGTCAGCATAGTGAGTAGGTTACAGAAATATTGACCCTGATAGCTGCCTTGTAAGACCCTCTTCTGGTCCACAAATCATTCCAGTAAATGCAAAATATTGCTACATGTTGTACATGTAAGTCCTGTGGAGACAGAACACTAACTTAAATGATAATATATATACTTTGCAGTATTTTTTCTCCAGTAAATAAATATATTGTTGTAGGCTACCACTCAGTGAAAACTGAAGCAATGCAAATAATCAGCCAAAAGTACAACACAAAGCACAGATGAATTTAAACTGAACACAGAAGAATGGGTAAGCGACGCAAATAATCAAAAGCAAAAGTACAACATAAAGCATAGATAGATTTAAACCGAACCCAGAAGAATGGGTAAGCTATGGATCCACTGACCAGGTCTGACACTTTAACATTTTTATAAATTTTTGTTTTATTTGTCTCAAAATATACATATTTAAGAATTAAAAAAACATAATGTGAAGATTATCAGAAATACTTACAAAGCATTCTGCAGCATCATCCATAAGGCCAAGCTGAAATCGCTGCTCATCTTTGAAGCTCTCTGCAAGAGCGTGCCTCATGTTATCCGAGGGAAGCGCTTTTTCCCGACTGTGCTGAAACTGTGCAAATATTGTCTGGGAATCAAACGTGCAACAAACAGTAAGTTTAATGCCAACAACTTTAAGCAGATCTTTAAATAATTTCATTTCAACAGCAAGTTCAAAACTCGTACTTTAGAAACCAAGACAGAACAGTCTTTTGCTCTAAAACTCCACACAAAACTCTATTATTTGTCAGTGAATATAGAAACGGTTGTAGCAGCTTCTTAAGTATTACAGTGCATGTAAGTCAGACATAAAGGGTTGTCAGAGCTGCTCTCAGAGGGCTGAGGTGACCCCAAGGCCTCTGGGTAGGCCTGAAGTGACGTCCATTTCTGAACTGTTCTCCAGATGAGTCTGATAAAAGTTGTTTAAGGAACAAAGTTTAAGATTAAAATCATGCTAACCAAAATAAACATACAATCACATAAAAATGAGAGGAATTTGCTCGTCTCTTTTTTAAAAAGTCTAACTTTTTTAAAAAAGTTAGGATTGTTTGTATCTTTTCCTGGTAAATTAAATAAACTTCAGAAAATGACAAATTGATTTTTTAAAAAGTTCAGATAATATTAACGGAATGACAATTTCTATGATTATACTAAAGATGCTTTTTAAAAAATATATATGTACCTTTTACAAGGAGTCAGGAGAATCAAATAATTATTTTTGATTTTTTTTTGAGAATTCCACTCACCCCAGTTGTCTATTTTCCTCTATTAGTGAAGCTTTTAACCTAACCCTAAGAAACCATGGAAACATTATTCAAGATGATGCGATGAGGAGGTGTTTACCTCAGTTTCATTTTCCTCACCAAATTCAAGTGTAAAAGAAACTTTGAGTTGCCTGTGATGGCACATATCCATAATCCCAGTGTCTCTGCGAGGCTGAGACAGGAGAAACACAAGTTTTAGGCTAGCCTGGGAAACTTAGTGAGATACTGTCTCAAATAAAACAAAAGGAGTACAGCACACGCCTAGCATGTGTGGGGCTCTGGGCTCAACTCCTACCATAAAGACAAACAAAGCTTTCTAATAAGTTATTTTTATGATGATCAGGGGAAGAGAATAGGAGACAAAAAGGGAAATTTTTGAACAAAAACATTCCAAATAAGAATTGTTCATGTTCTGTATCTCAAGGGGTTGTACTATCTCGGGAAAAACACAAAAGTTTTCTTAAAGCCAACTTATTGTATGCTAGAAATAGCACTAATGCTGTTTCAAGAATCTGTTCTCTACTGTAAAAACTTTTTTTTTTTTTTTTGTCTTTTTGAGGCAGGGTCTCACTATGTAGGACAGGCTGGCCTTCAGCTAATGTTGTAGCCCAGGCTAGTCTCAAATTTGCAATAATTTTCCTGCCTCAGCCTCCCAAGTGCTGTGATTACATGTGTGCACCAGCATGGCTGGCTTACCATAAAAACTTTTAATTTATAAGTAAGAATTAAAAAATAAAATGCCAGCTGGGTACAAATACCTAATCCCAGCACTAGGGGGGCTGGAGCAGGAGGATCACCGAGAGTTCAAATTTGAGTTGGACACACACATACACAAAAACAGAAACAAATAAAACATCCAATGCAAAAAAAAGCCAAATAAAGCTGGTTACAAATGATAGGATTCACTATCCTTTTTTTTTAAAGTTAAGGGACTATAATGTTAGCCATTAGAATAGCTAAAATGATGATTATGAAGATAAAAGGACGCACATTTTACCTCTTATTTAAATAATTAACTTGTCTAGGCAATGTTTAAGATATCAAACCTATTACACAAGATTGTTATGCATTCAACACCTATTCCTCACTTGCCTAGTGTAGGCCAGGCATTGTTTGACACTGGAAAACAGTAACCCTGCCCTCAAGGAGCTTACATTCTAGTATAGTAATGCAAATGCAAATAAATAATTATATAACATGCCAGAATGTGATAAGATAAAGACAAGTGAAGAATCCAGTATGAGAGAAAAAGCATTAGAAAGGGGATCTGAATGCTGGTGGAAGGACAGAGAGATGCAGCTTACCTTTTACCTAGTCAGGAAAGGCTTCAGTGATACAAAAAAAGAAGAGGCATAAAAGAGCCAGCATGTTATGGCCCTGAGAACAGTAGGAAGAAAAGTACTGTAGGCAAAAGGAGTAACAGTGAAAAGACCTGCAGACAGGAGCCAGCCCTGAGAAGAGACCAGTTTGGAGCAGGGTATGTACCGAGGCGCTTGGGGGAGGGCGCGATGCAGGCTATGAAAGGGTAAGGCCGCGGCTAAGGGACTGAACCATCCTGGATTTCACCACTGGACAAATCACTCAAAATTTACCATGCAGTAAATCAAAAGTGATCCTGTAATTAGGCCTAGGTTCATTCTTCATCTTCTGACAGTAACACTATTCTACCATGTTCAGAAAAAGAACTTAAAATTTTCCACTTTTGGTAATCCATTCAAACAGACTTCCCAGGAACATAAATTAAGGCATACAAATTTTTAAAAATTTTCCTATGTATTATGAGAACATTCATTAACAAAATTCAAGAATATAGAGGAATAAAAACATCTTTTAAACACGCTAATTAAATCTTAACTTCTCAGGCCAAAGACTTTAATGACAAAAAGGAGGGGAATGTAGACTACACTCCCCGTTTCTGCCCTTGTCTCCCTTAGCTCAGCAGACAAGGGTCTAGTTCAAACAGATTATATCACCTTCCAATTGAAAATAACCCTACAACTTCCCAAGTTACTGAGAGGAAAAGCCAAGATTATTACAAAAGCCTATAAAGCCATATACAATCTGAACTCCTGTTCTGGTTATTTACCTCCTTGTACAAAACCACCCCAGAACTTAGTTACAGGAAAAAACCACTCATCGGTCTTGATTATGGCTCATTCCTGTTCTACCTGCGGTCATCTGAGAAGTTGTGAATGCTGGGACCTGGGCTAGCAGCTGATGCTAACGGCCGGCCAGGACTGCTGCAGGAGCTACGTCCAGAATGGCGTGTGTCTTTCCACAGGGCTGGGTGGCTTCCTCACAGCCTGGTGGCTCCCTTCCAAGTACAAGCCCCCTCAAGGGTCAGAGCGGGTGAGGACTCTATTACCTTTCCAAATCCAACCCGACCTCAGACGTCTTGCAAAATCAGTTCTGCCACACTCTATTTGATAGGAATCAGTCACTGAGGCCCACATTGTAAAGTAGCTCATGTATAAAAAACTACTTTACATGGGAAAAAAATATAAAATTACCTACGGACACCTTTTCAATCTATCACACTCCCGTTATCACTGTTCCTCTCCTGCGCAGCTGTCGGCACTCACGTTTCTTCGCCATTTCTTTTGTGCTCACCCTCTCACAGGTTGTTTCCGTCTGCCTGGAAGCTCCCACAGCCTTCTGCTCACTCCATCACCTCTTCCAATCTTGAGTCAAGTGTCAGTTTTGCAAAAAGGCTTTTGTAGCCATTCAACACACCCTGGTCTCTTTCTCTGACTTATTTTTCTCTTACCATTGAACAAACTCCAAATGGTGCTTATTTATTGTCTCTTCCCTACCAGAATACAAACTCTGTGGAGATTTTGACTTGTTTTGTTCACTGCAGTAACCCCCGCATCAACAGCTATAGCTACACCTCAGTGGTAGCTCACAAGCATTTGCTAAAGAATTTTTTCAAAATAATAAAAGGGCAACGTTCCCAACAGTTTCATACTTCTTAACTGGTTATTTTATAACTGTTCTAATAAAAAAGTGGAAAATAAAAACAAAAACCTAAGACACACTTTTAGGAATTAACTATAAAACTATGAATTACTTGACAATGAATTTAACTACAAATGAATTAATCAAATATATCAAGTATCAAAATTATATTTTTGCAGAAGCAATACTAATTCCTGACAACTATGGAAAGTTTACCTTCAATGCACAAAATATGCAGGCTTCTCCCTGACAAACATGTCCGGTCAGAACCCGAAGGCTTCGTCGGAATATATCCAATTGCCATAAAACCTAAATTGAAGGAGAAGAAAGACAGTGAGGTTTTTGTCACTGTGATACATTTAGGTATTCTAAAAACTGAAAAAAATTAATAAAATACTTTCTTTCAGTCTCTTGTACATAATCAGATACACAAAATCATTAGAAACAGTAGCAAGTATAAAATGACTACATATATGACATGCATATAGAAAAGATGGGTTCAGAAGAAATTCTTACTGACTCACTTGAAAAACCATTACAGGCCTCGAGCAAGAAAAACTAACTCCTCAGTTAAAGATCTGACATGAAGAGGAAACGCAGGACGCTAAATATGGACTTGGAAGAGACACAAAAGAGGAAGTGATTCGAATACCTGGACAAACTAAAATCTAGGGAGGAAATACAACCAGACTTAAAAGGTAGGTTATACTAAATAGAGGTCAGCAGGTTATAGCAAGAAAAACAGGTGATCAGATATGTGCGGTCCCTAAACAATGAGAGTTCATATCTATGCAGTAATGAGGGCACAGCATGACACGCTGCAGGAGTTAAGGAATAACCTGAAAACACGTGCTGCAATTAGTCCTAAATCACCTGCTACTAAAAGGCAAGGATAAAGAAAAACAAAACAAACACTCAATAACTGTTGAAACCAATCAGTCCAATCCCTAAAAACCATTCTGGAAAATGTGAACTCTATACACTGCAATCAGATAGTCCTCCCTGACACAATTCTTGCATGGATTAAACAATACATAATAGTATGTGAAGTGTTTAGAGCAGAAACTGGCATATAGTTGACATACAATGAATACCTACTGCTACAATAAACAAATGACATCTTCAAGTTTTCCTGTAGTTATTTTTCTCAAATACATAACTTAAGAATTTCATTTATGGGCTGAGGATTTAGCTCAGCGGCATAAGTACCTGCCTTGCAAGCAGGCGGTTGTGAGTTCGATCCCCGATACTGATAAAAAGAAAATTTCATTCATAAGCTCTCATTTCTTCTAACTAAAAACAAGATTTTAGTAAAAGGTGAGTAAAAATAAATTGATCTTCAAGTTTTCTGTATGTTTAACTTCTCAAAAACCGAAGGGCATTTCAGAATTTCTCTTAAACACTTCTTTTTTTCAAGCATAACATCTACTTATTTTTCATACATCATTCTGTTTTGCAAAGCATTCAGTAGTGCTTAGAAATTGTTGTACATCATCTCATCGTACCATAAAAAATTTCACATCGAAATTCATTTTCCCAGCAAAAACGAAGGTAAATGACAACTGGACCGCTCAGCACGGAGGCCGATGGTGCCTCTCTGGAGAGGGGCTGCCTGGTCTGGCTGGCTTTACTCTTCACTCTCTTGGACAACACAGACAAAGCACTTGTTGAGACTACATTCCCAACATCTTGCCCACCACTTACAGTTGCAGGGTTCAAATAAATATAATGAGTAGTGTTCACACAGACGTCTACTGCATATAACTTTGTTCTAAACCTGAGAATTCAATGCTTTATCGAGTCAAACCTACTTAATTGTACTGCTTTCCAGATACGAGTTCAAAATATTCAGCTAGCAGGCTGCCTTTTATAACTTTTATAGTTAGAGAAGTCTTTCAAATATAACTAACGTTTTCTGGGAGTAACAAAATTTGGAAGTCACACTGGAGCAAACTACAGAAAAAATATTTTATGTGACTTTTAAATACTTTTCTGTATATCACTCATCACAATAATGTAAAACCTATTTTAGCAAATCTCTATTGCAAAATAATTTTTAATTATGGTTAATTCTTATCCTATTTCATTTGAAAGTATTGATTACATTCTACTCACCTATTTAAAACATTAAAGTCTATGCTAGCTGTTGGGTGAATTTATTAGTTTATGCATACTGGTTAATTAGTTTATACATACTGCAAATCAATACATCTGTGCAAAAACATTTAATAAAGATATAAATCTCTCACCATGTTCCTCACTTCAAAATAATATGAAGTAACTTAAAAGTAAATAATAAGAAGGCATTTAAATTTTCTTTAATTAATGATAGATCCATATTATTTTAACAAGATTTACTTTTACTAATTTCATACAGGATATATTCCATAATATTGTTCTTAGCAGTTACTTTTAAAAACTCACCAAATTGCATATTAACGTTTGTATTCTAAATTTTAACATGAAATCAAGCTTTTGTGACATAAAGCCTATTTGAATTGTTTTGTCCTGAGGATTGGCTTTGCAAATCAGTTTATACAGATATCTTAACCAGAGGCCAGAAGATGCCCCTAGAACTACTTTGCAGAAGGACTGCACAGAGATAATTTTATGGATCTACACAGGGACTCCTTTGAATATTCCAGCAAGCAGTTTGAGAGAACTACTGAAGGGCAGGAAATGAAATGTCTAAAAAGATTAGAGGAAATAATGCCCAGAGCTCACACAGACCTATTTCTAGCAGCCAAAGTGGAAAACTAAAATTCACAGAGCAGTGGTTAAAAAGTCTCAAGAGAAGAGAAATTAACCACAGAATAAGCACAACTTGTCCTGCCTAACAACATAATAAAATGATCTAACTTTTTCCAAATAAATTAACCTTGTTTTAAAACAAAGTTAAGACTGTTTTTAAGACTATAACAATCTCTGTAAGGCAACAAGTTAAAATCTGTCATTCAATTAAAAAAATTATCAAGCATTACAGAAAAAAATATTGCAACTTTGTGTCATACTAATAAGAAGCTAGAGATAAGACTCAGTAGAAGCATGAATGTTAAGTCTTACATCAAAATTCTACAGATGAAAACTACAATATATAAGATAAAGAATACAATGGATGGTATTGCACATTGCAAAGAAAAATATTAATGAACTGAAGACAGAAATAGAAGCCACACAAAATGAAGCAGAACCAAAGACTGAAAGAAAATAAAGAAAGCATTAGTGAGCTATAGTACAATATTAAATAGCCAACTATACATGAAACTGGTGTCTTCCAAAAATGAGGAAAGACAAGCTACTTGGAGAAATAACAGTTAAATTTGATTAAAATTCTAAGCTTACAGAACCAGTATGCTTAACAAACCCAAACCAAAAAGACATGAAGAAAAACTATGTCAAGACACATCATAATTAAATTACTTTAAACAAAATTTTACTTCAAAAATAATCTTAAAAACAGGCACAGAAAAATAACATTATACACAGAAGAACAAAGATCACAGTGATAGATTTTTATTAGAAATAATGAAATCTAAAACACAGGCAAAATCTTTTAAGTATGGGAAAAGACAACTGTCAGTTTAGCTCCTCTGAATGTGTTAAAATACCATTCAAAAACAAATGTGCAATACAGATTTTTTCTGGAAATACAAATGCTGAAAGAATTCATCATCAATAGGCCAGAAGAAAGAGAAGATAAGCGAAAGAAAAGCATACAATGTGGAAGCACGTATCTATACACAACAGTGATTAGCACATACAGAATTATATAGAAAAGTACAGCCTTCAGAGTAAAGCTCAATGCAATGCTTATTAAATTAAAAACAAAAACGAGTATATCATCATAGGAATTTTCTACTTTTTTCACCATGCAAGTTTCCTTACTTAGAATTTTCTCTTGTTACAATATGCTTTTTATTACAGACAGTATTTTGAGAGCTAAAGAAAGTATCATGGTTTATGTCTGTGGCCCCTAGGCCTCATGAGTTTGCATTGTGCATTTGTGATGGTTCATTGTCTAGTGATTGGCTTGATGTGTCAGTGCTACACCCACTTAGGGGTGGAGCCAGGATGTAAGGTAATGGCAGGAAGAAGGTGTGTCTTGCTCTTTGCTGGTTCCTACTTGCTGTTTGCAGCTGCCATAAACTGCTGCTCAGCCATGCCTGCCTGCCTTGGAGCCAACTGAATATGAATTGAAACCTCCAAAAACTGTAAGAAATAAACCTTTCCTTTCCCAACGTTGGGCTACAGGTATTTTGTCTCAGTGATGAGTAAAAAGTAACTAAGACAGAATTTGGTACCAGGAGTGGGGTCGTTTGCTGTGACTATACCTGGCCATGTCTTTTGAGAGGCTTTGGAAATGGCTTGTGGGCAGAGTTTGGAAAGGTTCAGACATGTCGCCTGGATGCATAGAGCTGGAGCAGCTTAGGCTATTCTGTAGAGGAGATTCTGGTCAGAGCTCAGGAGACCAGAAGGCTGATAGCCTCATGATAAAGATCAGGTTTGGGAGGTTTCTGCTGGGAAAAAGGACTGCATTGGTTGTTGGACTCCCCATGATTTGTGTTACGGCTTGGCAGAAAGTTTGTCTGCACTTTGCTCATGCCCAGGGACTTTGCCTGAGACTGAAACAAAGGGCAATGGACTGATTAATCTTGAAAAAGAAATTAAAAAGCAATCAAATGTTGAGTCTGTGGCATGGGTATTGTTGGAGGGTTTTAGCCGGCTTTATGTTGCAAATCAAGAGCAAAGAGCCCAGCAGGATAATTTGCAATACTGTGAGTTTGCCCAGAAGGAAAATGCCAGGAGGCTGTGGAATGTAAAGACAGAGTTGAGATTTTGATTGCTGAGGAGAAACAGAGAGATAAGAAAGATGGCCCTGGGGCACCCTAGGAAGCGGGTCCCCACCCTTTGCAGCCTCACTGCCAAGGTGAAAGAATTTGCTCAGAGGAGAAAGCTGCAGAGCACTATGCTCCATGACAGAGGCCATGTGAGGTTCCAGAATGGCGACAGAGGCCACTTGAATTTCCAGAATGGCGGCAACACAGACAAGCTTTTCATCACAATCAGGTAAACAGAGCCCTGCAATCCAGGCAACTGACCCCTACAGCCAAGAGAGAGAAAAGCCTGGCTACTGCTTCAGCTGGCAGCAGACCTTGGCGGCATCCACAAGGCGCTGATTTTAGGTGCAAGGAAAATGCACAAATTCTGAGGGTAAGATGGCTTCCACCTCGATTGCAAAGGGCCTGGGAGGCCAAGCAGTGTGCCCCTGAGAGGGCAATTTGTGAAGATGTAAAGGTGAAGCCGAAGGTGCAGTGGAGACCCCAGAAGTTTGGAAAAGCCAGGAACGTGGGTGATCTAAGGAAAGCTGCAAAAAGTGAGCAGAGAGGATTTAAGAGAGAAGCTGCAGGGGCTGATATCCCTGGAAGTGCCATGGGGGTGGAATCACCCAAGCCTTTTGGATCTTGCTACCAGATTGCTTCAGATACTGAGCACGGAACTCTAGGACTTAATGTTTGTCCTGCTAGATGCTGGACTTGCCTTGTTTCCAATGCTTTATATTCCCGTTTGTAACTTTTGGAATGGTAATGTTTACCTCCTGACTTTGCATTTCAGAAATGTTTAACCTTGTTTCATTTGTACAGGGATTCACAGTTAAGAGTTTGCCATAGATATTGGAGGAGACTTGGGACTTGCACTTTTCAGCAATGCTGAAACTAAGGACTTTGGCAACTCTTGGAGGTGGAATAAATGTCTTTTGTATGAAGGATGTACATGAGTCTTGGGTACCAAGACTGGAATATCATGGTTTATGTCAGGCCTCATGAGTTTGCATTGTGCATTTGTGATGGTTCATTGTCTAGTGCTTGGCTTGATGTGTCAGTGCTACACCCACTTAGGGGTGGAGCCAGGATATGATGTAATGGCAGGAAGAAGGTGTGTCTTGCTCTTTGCCAGTTCCTGCTTGCTGTTTGCAGCCACCATGAACTGCGGCCCAGCCATAACCGCCTGCCTTGGAGCCAACTGAGTACGGATTGAAACCTCCAAAAACTGTAAGAAATAAACCTTTCCTTTCACAACTTTGGGTTTCAGGTATTTTGTTTCAGCAACGAGTAAAAAGTAACTAAGACAGAAAGGTATAGAAATAGAAGGAAAAATGTAGAGGTGAAAAACAGTAACAAAAGATCTGATATGATACAAGTCCTTTCTTTTAATCTAATTCAATCAAAGGTATCTAATTCCAGGTCCTATGGTACTTTATAATGTTCTTAAATTCAGTGACATTAAATAAATATATTCTTTTTTCATAATACTTAGTACCAGTGACATCTTTAAGGGAAGGAAAAATACTGACTGCTATTTAATTCTCTAAAGTAAATTAGAATTCAATGCAGGGCTGGGGATTTAGCTCAGTGGCATAAGTGCCTGCCTGGCAAGCATGAGACTGTGAGTTCAATCCCTGGTACAAAAAAATAAAAAATAAAAAAATAAATGCTTTTCTTATACAGTGGTGCCTTGATTCACTAACTTAATTTGTTCTATGATTTTGGAAAAGATGGCCACATTTGTCTCCGTGAAAAAAGAGGATCACAGATGTATTCATTACCCAATGCAGAGTTTGCAAACAGAAACAAAATTTTGTCAAATGCTTCTGTTTGTGAACCAAACTGCAGAAACAGAAAGTATTCATGAACAAAGGTACCACTGTAACCAATTACTTCTCTTTCCCTGGGTGAGTTAAAAAAATTTCAGCCATGACATGTGATCCAAGAAGAGAGCAACCAAGATGTCTGAGAACTGACTGAGTTCTGAATGGATTTATTTGTCAAATACATTAAGCAATATTTCTCTGTCTCCTCTCAGCTTTTAGGAGTAGAGTTGTCAGATAAAGATCATATTACACAGAAGAAAAGCTATTAAGGCAGAAAAATAGATTAAAATAATTTGTTAACTACAAGAATTTTAGCAAATATTGAGGCAAATGGATTGAGCTTCAATCTAAAAGAAAGTACTCTAATGATGACTGCAGAGGTAACTTAAAGACCACAGAGACACGTGTAAGGAGTCTGAGCACTGTAATTCAAAAAAACACATATATATTATATATATTATACATATATATATTATTGTGGACTCATTTCAAACTAAGGGGCTTGCTTCTTGCTGTTCTATGTACTGAGAACTACAACAGATTTTTGATTCATGTCATTTGTTTTTTATTTTTCTAGAGGAGAGGGGATTCTTAGTAAATAAAAAGTTTCCATATTTTTACAAACATTCTTACTTTACTAAATATTTAAGTAAAACGGTTTTCATATCACAGTAATATATCATCCTGTCGACAAAAACACCATTTCCGTTTACTATAAAAACTAAATGTCCAGCCAGAATACTTTTTGTTCCCATTACAAGTGGTACTAAAAGTTATTCCAGCTAATAACTGTTCATAATTTAGTAGTTAAAGAAGTATTAAAGTATTTCCTGAAAAGTATTTTTTTAAAAATGTAGTCAGTAATTATGGTCTCACCTGTACAGCACTATTAAGAAAGCAGCTGTTCTGTCCTGGTTCATTTAACAAGCCTTTGGTAGGGGCTAACGATAGCATACTTCCAGGTTGGTAAGCTTTTCCAAGATTGCCACCAGGTTTCCGTAAGAATTTTACCCAGGCCATATTCAAGCAACTTTGTTTGCATTAAAACTAAGAACTGTACACTTATGTTATATTCCTGATAATAAAGTGGATGATGTCTTGAATTCGCCAGTTAAATTCACAATAGTCTGTTTTAAGAAAGTAAGTTTCCAAGTTCATAGCTTTCCTAGTGCAATAAATTTTTGAGAACTTCAACGAATAAAAATGGGGTAAATAAATGTTGAAGGTTTGAAAGCTAAAAAGAAAGTTATAAGAACTTTCTTTTAAAAAACAAGGCCTTCAAGATATTTATGTATTAATTTTACTGGAGAGTTGTACACAATGAGATGAAAAAGAGTTCTTTAAACTGCAAAAAGTAGTACCGATGAACAAATTTTCTTTCATGTAAAATCAGTTGCCTTGATGGGCTAATAATACAAATGGATGATAGAAAAAGATGCAGATTTGGCATCTGGCATGATTCCTTTGGTCATTTGTTTTCTTTATGCTTTTTTTTAATAAAAAATAACACTGTTTCTTTCCCAGGTGAAGTTATCAACGGTGAGTACAGGTCATTTCGGTGTGATCTCAAAGCAGATCTACAAGAAAAGAAAAGACATATTTAAAAATAAACCTTTTCAGGAAAATGTCTATTTTATAATTTGAAAACAAATACTCAATATAGAATGACAACTTATCATAAAAGGATTAGAACTCATAATATTCTGATATCAAAATATAATATTTCATCATTTAGGGTATTTTTTGGATGTTAACATGACATTAATCACTTTCTACCTCCAATTTTAGTGTTCAAAGAAAGGATTTGTAAGGAAAATATTCTACAAAAAAGAAACCTATAATTAAATCAGGTCTCAGGTTGTATTCTATACCTGTCAATCTAAATTGTTTTACTAAACAAATATGCAATGTACATAGTATATACTGTGTTATCTACCTTCTACACAGAATCATATTTTTCCAAGAAATGTAGTAGGTTTTATGTAAATTAACATGCACAGCAACTCTAAAGAAACCTTTGAAACAGAACTTAGTGAATTAAAATAAATCTCCATCTTTTCATCAATGCATGCTGCTGGTTAATGTACTTTAAATGTTAAATTTTATCAACTGAATTTTGTTCCTGGATTCTTTCATTCAACAAACACTTACTGAGCATTTGTGTACTGTACCTACCAAGCACTGGAACTGACATAGTAAGAAAAATCAGACAACAACATATACCATGACACCTCACCACGCTGTAGAGTGTCCTAGAAGGGCTACACGCTAACTGCTAAGAGAAAAACAATGTCAGGAACAGGATCGGAAGTACCAGATGTTCTTCACATTGCAATAAGACAGTCGGGGAAGGCCTTATTGAGAATGTTGCATCCACACCAAGATTTGAAGGAGATAAAGAAACCAAGTGCGGGAAGAAGCTCCTGGTAGACTGAACAGTAACTTCAAATATATTGAAACTGATGCATACTTGGCATCCTGGTAGTAAGAAGCCCAGTGTGGCAAGGGAAACTTAGTAAGGAGCAAGATGAAATGGAAGGACAAGAAAGAGACAAATTACACAGGGTCTTGCAAGTCCTTTGGCTTTAAACTCTTGACTTCAAAGTTACTGAGCACCATTTTCACAGTACAGAAAGAGACACACAATTGCAGAGATCAGATCAATATCACAGATCAAATACTCACAAGATAGCAAATCACTAAAGAACAAAGAAGAAAAGGATCAACATCTAAAAAAGTTAAAGCCCGTTTCTAGGCCCACTTTACCTCTTTACCTTAAAAATGGGGGTAACAACAACAGCTCTCTTAATGATGGTTAAATATTCTGAGAATTATAAAACTTTTGTCAGTTATTTTCTTCTATTCTGATCACCAATTTACAACCACCTCTGAGTGATCTAAATGATTCTGAAATTTCATTTGTATTGTTTTTGCTAAATTTAGTCATGTTGTACAATACTAAGTGAGTGACATTACCAGTAAATCCCTATTTTTAATGGAATCATCCTTTTAAATTGATGTACTTTCAACACTTATTAGGCACCAAGTCTGTAATATAAGTCATTTTAAAGTATTACAAACAATTACTATCATTAAAGAATTTAGTTTGATGAGTGTCACAGACACAAACAGATAGTTGAAACCATAGCTCCCATTCTTGCACAAGATGTCAAAACTAGTACGTGTTCCTGACTGCCTCCTTCAACCCAGTCCTGAGGATTACATAAAGGAAAAGTACTCTGAGAAGAAATGTTGAGAACACTGAAAGTGACTAGCTCCTAAAATGGGAGAGAAACAGCAGTCAAGAGATGGAGGGAGCCCAGTGTTTGCCTGGGAAAGCTTTTCTAGCTGTGAACTCTTTCCACTCCGTACTCTGTTCTGGCCAGAGAATTCCCACCCCACACAATGCAGGCAGACAGAAAAGCACTGCTCTTTCCCCAGTGCCATTGAGAGCTTGTTTCTGCAGGAAAACACAGGAGCACAACCAGTTCTGGAAGTGCTGAAAGACAGGTGATCTACAGGCCCCTTTTGGCTCTGACCTCACCTGCTCTACACAAGGACTGACCTGGAGAAGAGAGGCAGGGCCACAGGAAGGGCCTTTACTTTCAAACAGCATCATCCTGAATCAAGCCCTTATATTCCCACTTCTACTCCCTGAAATCAGATGCCAACAAACAAGTGACAGTCTCATCCTCATTCTCCCAGGTAAATATTCCTAGCTTAGAACTTGGTACCTCTGAGGGAAATATAACCAGGAGTGTATAAGCACTGTGACAGAAAGGAAACAAACTGAACAATCTAGACAACAGAAAGAGAAAGAATAGACACAAATTTAAAATAAACATGAATACCTGCTGTAGTGGTTGATTAATTACATCAATTTGAGAAGTTTACAAACAACTACATCAGCACAGCAATTCTACACCCTGGGGTATAGAGGACCCACCTAGGGCAGCTGTTAGCACTTGTGGTATAAAAGGGAAATGAGAGGGGCTGGGGATTTAGCTCAGCAGCATAAGCGCCTGCCTTGTAAGCAGGCAGTCGAGTTCGATCCCCGGTACCGACAAAAAGTTAAAAAAAAAAGGGGGGGGGGAATGAGGCAGGAAAGACTGTCTCCTTTTCTTCAGAGGAGCTCCAGGCTCAGCCTTCAGCTTGAAGGTCATCTCCTGTCTTCTAGAATGGACTTCAGCTTCTGCCTTGGATCCTTTAGCGCTCTACTGCAGATCCACTGGCTTCTTGATACAAACTCGCACAGGACCTGCAGTGAACTCCAGACCTTGCCTGAAAGCGTCAGTCTTCAATATGCAAACACCCTCTGCACTCTTCATCCGATTCTGTGAATGACCATCATAAGCCAGTCTTATAATTTCTTATATGTTTGTATATCTTGTGTTGTATCTGTTTCTCTATTAAAACACTGATTGATAAATTTTGGTACCAGGAATGGCTCTACTGAAACAGAATTATAATAATGAAGTTATTTAATACTTTTGGGGTTCCCAGAGTCATCTCTCTAATTTGATGAGACCGAAGACACTGCGGTCTTTCCTGCTAACTGTGTAGGGAATATCGATGTTTGGTGTGAACTGTTTAAACTAATACACCATTTAGATCCATTTGATTATCCTAATTCACCACTTGTGAGATGTCAGGAATTCAGTGGCTCCACACATGAACATTCTGAGTATCTTTGGCACAGTAGGGAACATAATCATGCTGGAAGGGTGGTCTTGGCATCGTTAGACAAACTAGTGAAGGAAAACAATGAGCTCAAAACATTCATAGGAAGTCTAAAGATTTCTGGCTAAGAGGACAAGTTAATAAAGGAAAATAAGATAAGAAATTTACAAGTTTTTAAGTGTATCCTGAAAGAAAATCTCTTTTAGTCACAAAGCCAAGACTGTAGAAACACAAACACAGACACGCATAATTTGACTGGCTAAACCACAATGTAAGTTTAATGCTCTTCCTCAAAGGGTATCTGAAGCAAAGATGAGGACACTGATTGGAAAAGAATAGGATGGGGCTGGGGATTTGCTCAGTGGCATAAGCGCCTGCCTTAAGTGTGCGGTCCTGAGTTCAGTCCCTGGTACCAATAAAAATGAAAAAGACAAAAAAAAAAAAAAGAATAGGATCCCATAAACTGGGATGCAGACATGTGGGAGGAGCCTGAGGAAGCTGAGGATTTCACATTTCTAGATGCTAATGAGATTATTTTGCCAGAGGAAGAGATTTTCCCATCACAATGGCACAGGCATCCCCACCTCCAGTCTCTGCAGTGTTGGCCTCTTCTAGAATACCTGGGAAAACTAGCCCTGTGTTGACCAAGTACAACAGTGCTGACACTCCCCTCCATTTTTTCCCAAAGACATATAACTAGACTCAAATCATAGAAGGCTCCTAAAGTTGAGGTCTACAGTGTGGCCAACCCGTAAGGAGGTCCACTATTCTCTCAAAAACTTCTTGAGTTTTCAAACTCTAGTAAAGCAGAGGCCTAATGAGCAAGCATGGGAATGGATTGTATGGGTTTGAGATAGTGGTAGCAAAAACACACAACCAGATGAAGCTGAGTTTGTTGACATGGGCCCATTAAGTAGAGATTTGGAGCTTATGTTGCAGCTCATGGAGTAAAGAAAGGTGTTAATAGTTTATTTGGCTGTTTGGCAGAAGTATGGATCAAAAGATGGTCCACTGTGAATGAGTTAGAGATGCCGGATATTCCATGATTTACTGCTGATGAAGGGATCGAAAGGCTCAGAAAAATGGGAATGCTGGAGTGGATCTGTCATGTTAAAGCTAATCCTCCACACGGGAATGATCCAGAAAATGCAGCCTTCACTAACGCATTGAGAAGCAGAATTGTGGGCTGGGGATTTAGCACAGTGGCATAAGCGCCTGCCTTGCAAGCAGGCAGTCTTGGGTTCAATCCTCGGTACCGATAAAGAAGAAAAAGACAAAAAAGAGAGAAGCAGAATTGTAAGAGGAGCACCAGAATCCCTGGAGAGCCCTGTCAAGGTTCTTCACTGTATGCCAGACATTATGGTGGGGACCACTGTTGCTCAACTGAATTTTAAGGGCAATGGGCTTGATTGGATCCTGGAGTGGCACAGGTCGAGTGGCAACACTTAATCACCAAAGGCAGTGTCCACGCTCTTACCATAATGGGACAACAGAAGCAGACTGATGACCAGAATAATCTGACACATGTAGCCCTGTGGTGCTGGCTGACTGGCCACACTGTTCCCAAAAGTGATACAAGTTTTACTAGATTTATATAATTGAAAAATTATATAAGGCTGTATAAGTTTTACTAGATTTATATAATTGAAAAAATTTAAGGGCTAATGAATGGAAACCTACTTCAAATCATGGTAATAGGGAATCATGGCCTCTCCACCAGTTATTGGATTTCAGCCAGTTTACAACCCCAGCACCCTTAAATGAAGGGGAGGTTGGGTCCTCTTAGGGAAGGACCCTGATGCACCGAACATTTATAGAGTCAATCTTTTCCCCATCCTTCCCCAGAAAGATCTGAGGGCTTTTGCTCAAGTGACTGCACACTGGAGAAAGGAGAATG